GGTCCTTTGCCAGGTTCGTTTCTCTCTGATCCACTGTGTGCGGCATGAGTCCAAGGCCGTCCAATCTTATGGACATGCCCTGCCCTCAGCGAGAATTACTCCCTCATAATGAAACAGGAAGGGGCTGAGCCGTCCAATCTTATGGACTTGCTCAGACCTCCTCGACCAAAAACAAAAGAAACAGAACAAAACCCCAACCAAACATGGCAACCAAACCCTCCAATCTTATGGTACAGGTTTGGCCCCTGAAAAGTCAACCACAATCAAACCCTCACAATTCAGAGCAATCAGACTGTCCAATCTTATGGAACTGGTCCGACTCTCCATGCAATTCAAAAATAAACACAGCGGTCAGGCCGTCCAATCTTATGGAACTGGTCTGACCCCATAGGACCCGTTCAGTCTCAAGCAAAACCACCTTTTACCCGCCCTTCCCCCAGATGTCATTCCCCTTCGTTCACAATCTGCTTTCAGACAATTAAAAGAAACTGAAACTGAGATTTCCCACACATTCCTTTATTTTATCTGAACCATGTCCTGAAAGTCAAGCCAAAAGTCAAAGTAGGGATGCATGCCGTATACTCAGTCAAAATACAACAGGCAGTACAGATAGGGGCTAATATCTGGGTTTATAGAGGGGAAGCAATGGTTACCTTTCAGTTCCCTGCCTCCAGAACTCCTCCTGAGTTCCGCCTAGGCTCCTGCAATCGGTGGGCTGACTCCCCACACTTGTCGCGGTCCTACGGGTTGCAATCCCGCCTGCCGCCTTCCTCTCAGAACCGATGGACCAGACTTAGAGTAAGAAGGGCAGAAGGAGAAAGTTGGAGTCGCTCAGATACAAGAAGGGTGCTCTAAGACTCACAGGAGAGGGCCTTCCAACCTTCATTCGCCTGAGGGCCCCGCAATGGTGGCCAAACAGCAATAGCTTGGTCAAACTGAAGTAAGACCACCGAAATACCCCTTCCGACGACCTCTTAGTTCGCCGCAATGCCCTTCTTGTCGTCGCTCAGTCCCTACCTCACGTCATAGCAGCCATGCCCCGTCGCTGCGTTCAAGTAAAGTGCAGCAGTAGTCCACTGACACTGCGGCCCTGCACTCGTGTAGCCTGCAGTTGTCGAACAACCCAGCAGTATGTAGCAGCTTACTAACACGCGCGCTGGGCAGCCGTGCTCAGCAATGTATGGCCGCACAGTTCGTCACCAGCAGCAACTCGAACTCCACAGTCAGCAGCATACTCCTGCTCAACCCTCCGCCCCGTAACAATCCATACTGAGATCAACACCCCCAGCGGCGCCCTACCTTCAGACCCTAGCGGCTTACCCCCCCCGTCGATGGTTGTGCACAGACGCCTACAGCAGTCCGTACACAGTCTCACCCTATGGTTGGTACTGTAGCTTGGCGCTCGGTTTCTCCCTCGTCACCCGCTCCCACACGCGCTTCAGCCTCTGGTTGCTTATTCTAGCCAAGTCCGAACTGCCGCCGGGATGAGTACATACCGGCCAACAGGTAAAATTCCAATCCCTGCCGCTGGCCTTCCTTACCCGCATCTCCCACTCAGTGCACTCGACCAATAGTGGCAGTTGCCTAAACTACACAGTATCACCGCGGCAGGTTCAAAGTGACCACGCGTTTCCCTGTGTTTTGGCACCGTAACTCGACTTTCGGTCCCTGAGCATGGTCGCCCCCCCCCCTATCAATTACGAGGTAGGTCTCCCTTAATTACCATTACCTCCTCCTTTCTTATCTTTACTGTGCGTGCAGAATGAGGGTGAATCTTCTGCCACAAAGTGGACAAGAGCAAGTACCCACTCCCCCGATATCTGAACTTGCCTCCGTGGAGCCAAATATTTCACCAAAATCGACCTCCGCAGTGGCTCACCAGATCCGTATCCGCGAGGAGGATACCCACAAGATCGCATTCCGCTCTCGGTTCAGGCACTACGAGTTCCTCGTAATGCCTTTCGGACTCACCAATGCCCCCACCATATTCCAGTCCACCATGAGCCACATCTTTCGTGACCTCCTCGAAGTTTGTGTCGTCGCGTACCTTGATGACATCCTCATCTTTAGCCCCACCTTCGAGTCCCACCTTTAGCACATTCGCCAAGTCCTCTCGATCCTCCAAGAGCAAAAATTCTACGCCAAGCTCAGCAAATGTATGTTTGCCGCTTCGAGCGTCGAATACCTTGGCCACATTGTCTCCGCTGAAGGCATCCGTATGGACCCCTCGAAGGTCACAGCCCTCGTCGAGTACCCCCCGCCCAAGACCCTTCTCCAACTTCGTTCCTTCCTCGACCTTGCCAACTATTACCGCCCGTTCATTCACAACTTTTTCGAGATCTCTTACCCTCTCCACGAACTCACACGCATGGACGAGACCTTCAATTGGAACGATCCCCGCCAACACGCTTTCGACCTCCTCAAGCAAACCATCACCACGGGCCTTGTCCTCAAGATCGTCGACCCCACTCGCCATTTCTATGTCACCACCGATGCCTCCGACTTCGCCATTCGAGTCGTACTGTCCCAACATTTCCCTCGCGACACCGCCGAGACCCCCTCCATCAAGGACCCGCCCACTCACCCCAAGGCTCCMCCCSMCGAAWACCCCCCCCCCCCCCCAAAAAAAAAAAAAAAAAAACTCCTTCCCGCAGAGATGAATTACCCCTCCAACGAGAAGGAACTCCTCGCCATGATTCACGCCCTCACAGTCTGGCGCCCGTACCTCGACGGGCAATACTTCACCATCCACACTAACAACACCATCGTTTCTTCCATCTTCACCAAGAACGACATCACCCCACGCCAAACTCGATGGCTCGACTTCCTTGCCCAATTCACATTCACCATTTGCCATACCCCCGGTAAAAGCAACCGCATTGTTGATGCCCTCTCTCGACAACCTAACCACAAGCCCCCCGAGAAAGTCTACGCCGCCATGACCCATATCCAACTCCTCCCATCACTCCATCACCGATACACCCAAGGCTACCTCTCTTGCCCAGCCTTCGCCGCCATTTACAACAAGCTGCGCGATCTTGACCCAGTCCCCAATTACTCCCTCCACAACAACTTCCTCTACATCGACACCAAAGGCACTCGTCGACTGTGCATCCCTGACACACGTGGTTTTCGTACCCAGCTCTTGGCCGAGCACCACGACGCCAAGACAGTAGGTCACCTCGGTTTCCAAAAAAACTTTGACACCATCTCCCGCTATTTCTATTGGTCGTCTCTACTTGCCGATATCAAAACATACATTCGCTCATGTCCCACGTGTGAGGATGTCAATCCCTCGAACCGGGCCAAGCCCGGCAAGCTCCAATCATTGCCCATCCCCACTCACCGATGGCAGTCCATTTCCATGGACTTCGTGTGCGGTCTCCCTAAGACCGACCGCGGGCATGATTGCATCTACGTCATTGTCTGTCGCCTGACCAAACGCGCCCACTTCATTCCTTGCACCACCTCGCACACCGCCAAAGACATCGCCTTACTCTTCTTCGACCATGTTGGACGCCACCACGGCCTCCCCGAGAATATCATCAGCGACCGTGATCCCCGTTTCTCTCACAGTTCTGGAAACAACTCTTCAACGCCTACGGAACTACACTCAAGTATAGCACTGCATTCCACCCACAGACCGATGGACAAACCGAGAAGATGAACGATACTCTCCAAAGAACCCTACGGAAGTACTGTCATCCACATCAACACGACTGGGTTCAGTTGCTCACCGCCGTCGAGATCGCCTACAACAACGTTGTCTGTCCTTCCACTGGCATGTCTCCATTCTACCTTGACCTTGGCTACCATCCGCGCTTGCCCTCTGATTTCCTGCTTCCCTCGCAACTCAACCTCTCCACACCCTGCCCTTCCCTCAATGATGGGTAGCAACAATGAATCGACTCCTCGTAGAAGCAACCGAAGCCCTCAAAAGAACATAAGAACAACAAGCAAACAAGATCAATAAACCAGACGAGACTTGCAATTCAAAGTAGGGGACAAAGTCTGACTCTCCGCCAAACGCTTTGAACCTGAACATGGATTGTCAAAGAAACTCTCTAAAAAATGGTTCGGACCCTTCCCCATCATTGAAAAAACCTCCGACGTCAACTACAAACTCCAACTCCCCCCCGACATGAGCCGTGTCCACCCGGTCTTCCACGTCGAATACTTGAAAGAATATCTTGAATCCCCACCCCAATTCGCTGACCGCCCATATCCCAGACCTCCACCTATCATGTTACCCACGGGGCCTGAATTCGTTGTTGAAGCAATCATAGGTCGACGAACTACTCAGGTATCTGACCACCCGGAACCAATCACTGAATACAAAGTCAAATGGATCGGATACCCCGACGAAGAATCTACATGGGAACCTCTCTCGAATCTCAAGAATGCCATGAAACTTATCCACGCCTATGATCGTGCTAGTCCTATGTCCTAGACACCCACGTAACTACAACCCTAAACCCCTGTATAAACCTTGCTACAACCTCGCAAACCCATTCTACACACGCCCTTAAAACCCAGTCCACCCTCCTCTCGACCCCGATTCCTGATGTCTGATCTGCCCTTGCCCTCGCCTAGCCTTGTCCCATCTGTCCTCTCCACTACCTTGTCTCTCTTGTCCAATGCTTATGAACCTGCGTGATGCCGGCGATAAAGGATCTAATGGCAAGCGTACGAGGACGATGGCCTGCTGCCTCACTGTTCATGGAGATTATGCAGCTGGTTTGGCCACCATGTTGTTTCATCGGTCGGCATCCCGACTCGCGGACTTACTGGAGCAGCAACTTGTGACATGGATCTTTGCATCAGTCTGCGCCCTCCTTGCTTCCAAATCAGACCCCATTGCAGTTCGTGTACCGGACGCACCATGGCACTTGGACTTTGGACATTTGAACTACTCTTACGCTTCTTGGACTTCCACAGCCGCTGAAGACCGCTTCTACCACCTACTCCAAGACCTGATCAAGGCGGCTGCAGATCCCCTTTCAAGACACTGGGACACTTCGTTCCTACATGAGATTCTGCTTCCGACTCCTTCGGACACACCAGCCCTTGCCTCCTGAACAAACATTTTCATTTTTATTTTTTTTCCTGACTTTGACAACCCTGTAGAACATCATCAGCAGATCCCTGTTTCCCTGAGCATTGTTCCCCTTACCCACTAGAACATCAATAGAAATTCCTTGATGTTCTAGTGGGTAAGGGGAACAATGCTCAGGGAAACAGGGATTTCTGCACATTTTTCTGAACATCAATAGAAATTCCTTGTTCCCCTGACCATTGTTTCCCTTACCCACAAGAACATCAATAGCAATTCCCCGTTTTTCTGAACATCGTTTCCCCTACCCAGCAGAACATCAATAGAAATCCCCTGTTCCCTGAACATTGCTTAGCTTCCCCTATAGACCCATCCAGTTACATCATACCTTCACCTGTGCAGAACACCAGACAGAATACCCTGTGAGTTGCATCACTCCCCTTCTCCTTCTCGGACCAGTGATCGGCCCCGTCCCGTCCTTCACAGCTCCTTTTGTTTCCTGGGCTTTCTGGCAGCCGGGACGTTGCCTTTCAGAGGGAGGGGATAGTGTTACGGACTCCACCAGGGCTCGACCCCTGCTCTATCTTTTTGCTGTTTCTGCTGCATCCTTCTTTTTATTTTATTATTTTATTATTTTATTTTTTTATTTTTTTTTTTATTTTTTTTTTAAGCACACACGCTCCATCTATTGGTGGGGAGCAGCACCTGCTGGAAACCGGGTCCAGCGTCCCATAGATACAACCATATCCTCTCAAATTGGCACGAGCTGGGAACCGGGCCCAGCGTCCCTTGAGTACGTTCAGAAAAACCATCAGAAAATTTCATGGCAATGAAACTAAGGGTATACTGAGGCTACTTCAGAGCTTTTTTGTAAGGAACATTCAGAGATAAACAAAAACCAGAAGAAGACTCGGGAATCCACCAACAG